CATTGATAGGGCTAGGCTATCTTGATGTAGAGCAGGCTTGTCCAACCCGCGGGCCGCATGCGGCCCAAGACGCTTCGTAATGCGGCCCAACGCCCACCCCAACCTTCGTGAAAGATCCAGCAAGGAGGAGGAGGAGAGGCAGGCGCGAGGCAGGGCAAGGCGAGCAACAGAAAAGGTGGGCAGCCGCAGCCCAAAAGTCCCGCCCCGCCACCTCCTGCTGTTGCCGCCGCTGCCGCCACCACTGCTGCTTCTGCCCCCGCCGCCGCTGCCCCCGCCGCTGCTGCTTCTGCCCCTGCCGCCGCTGCTGCTTCTGCCCCTGCCGCCGCTGCCCCCGCCGCTGCATTTGCAGGAGGAGAGGTAGGTGCGAGGCGGGGCAAGGCGAGCAACAGAAAAGGCGGGCAGCTGCAGCCCAAAAGTCCCACCCCGCCACCTCCTGCTGTTGCCGCTGCCGCTGCTGCTGCATTTGCAGGAGGAGAGGTAGGCGCGAGGCGGGGCGAGGCGAGCAACAGAAAAGGTGGGCAGCCGCAGCCCAAAAGTCCCGCCCCGCCACCTCCTGCTGTTGCCGCCGCCGCCATCACTGCTGCTTCTGCCACCGCCGCCGCTGCCCCGCCGCCGCCGCTGCTGCTTCTGCCACCGCCACCGCTGCTGCTTCTGCCCCCACCACCGCTGCTGCTACATTTGCAGGAGGAGAGGTAGGCGCGAGGCGGGCGAGCTTTCTTCCCCCCCTCCCCCCCTGCAAAATTTGGCCGGAAAATTATAAAATAAAAAATAAATATTTTTTAATAAATAATTAATAATAAATAATAAAAATGATTTTATTTTATTTTATTTTATGTGCGGCCCAAACCAAATTTTCATCTTCTAATGTGGCCCAGGGAAGGTGAAAGGTTGGACACCCCTGATGTAGAGCAAACACAAGCTCAGGAGATGGGGATGTTTAGCAGAAAAAGAGATGATGGGAAAAAGGACAATTTAGCTTTTCAATCTATTGTCCACCCTGCACACAGAAGTATAATTCCAAACACACCTCCCAGAGCACCAGACTGGGGAGACCCTACCCCCTAATGCCCCCCCCCCAGCCACTCCTCTTTTAGATAATTAGGAACATGGTACATTCTTACACCTGCTTATCGGTTGTGAGAAACAGCAACTACAGATGTTTCCTTGATCTTTTTACGATTTAAGTGACTGAATCATTTAAATCATTTAACCTCTTTTCTTTTTTTTTCTTTTTTAGATTAACCACATTCCCTTGAAGTTTTTTTTCTGCTTCTATTTCTGAACAGAAAGAAGCATTTGAAATCATGCTGAACAATTTACAGACTTAACTTTTCATTCCTCTGTCAGAAATATTAGTTGGTTATAGCGTAGACTTTTTAGCAGTGTTCAGTCTTCATTGCTGTTTTTACCCCAGTCCCACTGAGCTTTTACTGTATGATAGCATCTTTCTGTTAGGTTTCCTTCAGTTTGCAGTATTAAATGATTTTCTTATTCTTTTGAGAATCACAGACATTATTGTCAGTCAAACAAAACTAAGGAAAACCGTTGGAAGTTGATGTCTTAGATTAAAACTCTCAACCCATATCTTCAACCATACCTTCAGAAAACTCTTATATACTAGCTATGAAGGATAGTTTTTGTCATCAACACTGATTAAGAATCCAAATGGATGACACTGACTTCCCCAACCTGCAGACTCTTACATGTTTTGTCTTTCTTCAGCAGCCACCTAATTGTAAACTTGAAGGAAGTTACAGAAGAGAGTTGAGCTATGCCTGCTTTTCAAACTGACAGAGAGGAGATGTGTTGGATTAACACTCTTGTATCACAAAGCCATTCCCCAGAGCTGATTGGGTTGAATCCAGAGTGGTACATTATGATATTATATATGAGAGAGAGAACATAAGAACAGGAAGAGCTCAGCAAGTTGCCCTGCTTAATTGCACATTGCACCGTATACAATTAAATAAATCAAGCTCATAATTAAATTCGCTCAACTGTGAAAGTGTAACTCAAAGATTTGCTGCATCAGAGATTTCTTTGTGAATTACCAGAGGCATCAATAAGACTGGTACAAAAGGGAAAAATTTGGAGGCTTTTTCATATTTAATACCAGGTGCCTTTCTTCAAGGTTTCAGACAGTCAACCATGCCCTTCACAAGGCTATTCGATCCAACCTCCATGACATTAATCTGTCTTCCACACTTAACATTTATTGAGTGACTTTGGACCTAGTGATTTCTAGCATCGTGAAGCATCACTCAACTAGTTTCTCATAGTTAGACTTGGTTTGTTTGACTTCGTCTCCAATAAAAGAGCATATCTATAGCTAGGGTTGAATTGTGGAGTTCTGGGTGCTTTCTGAGCTTAGTGGTTCTCTTGTAGACACTTCATTATCCAACTAGATAACATCACCAGTCATGTGCAAGCAAGCATCCAAGGTCAGAAAGCACCAGGAATTCTAAATTTTATCTGACCAGGATAATATAAATTACAATAGTTGAGTAATCTATAAATCAGTAATGAACCAGTGGCCTTGAAATCCCCTTCCTGGGTTATTCTTTAAGGGTTATTGTGTTCATGGTACTTTTGCAAATGGTATGACTTTACTATTGCAACTGCCCTATGTCCAGAAGCACCTCTGACTGAACAGAAAAACCAGTATTTTAAAAATGAGACTGGAGATTAGAAAATATGATATATTTGGATAATTTGTGATTTGTCTTTTAGCTTTTGAAAATTGTACTCCTATATCCAGCAGGAATTTAGCTCACTGAAAGTGGAAGTTTGTTCTGAATAAAGACAGTAAAAGCATCCTGTGTGGTAACTGGTAAAAGAACAGACATCAATTTCTTCACACTTACACCAATTTCCTTTTGCATCACAAGACAAACCTAATGCTCTAACAGAAAAAAAAAATTACCTTTTCAAATACCTTGCTAGGATGCCAAATGAGCTGCTAATATTATTTCTTAAAAGATGCCAAACAGAATGAAACGGAATAAAATGGATCCTTCTAAACTGTGTGATCAAGGGAGCATGATTGCTGAGAGTAGTGGGGTAGTTACATTTTTAAATTGTATAGAGATTATTGTATGGTTGGTTGTGTTTAGTTTATTTTTTTTTCTTTTTCTTTTTTAGTGGTGTTTGTCCAGTTTTACTTGTGGAAGAGCACCTCATTTCGTTGCACCCGCTTGCGAGTGTAATGACAAATAAATTCTTATGTCTTATGTCTAAAAGTCTATGGTGTAACTTCCCATTATACTCAGGATTATGATTAAATCCCCAAACAAACCACCATTTGTAAGCCAATAGCAAACGCTTTAGTCATCTTTATTCTTGATAACCATTGTATCACAAGCCTGTTCCTAATCAGTTTGTCTTTCCTCACAAGGGGAAGAATGAAGACATATTTAACTGGCTATGTAGAGTTGTATTTTTAATCTAATGTGGTTTATTGCACCACATTTCAGGCCAATTCCAGAGTGCATAGAATGATAATAATGAACCAGAAAATTGTATCACACTGCTGCCATCTAGCAGACATAAGGAGTTTTGCAGCCCCGATATCCAAGAACTAAAAATGGATAATGTAACTTTTTTTTTCTTTTCCAATTAACATTTTGAATATTTCTCTACATAAATGGCACAAAACAAATGTTTTTGGCACATAACTAACAGATCAATCTTTACAGCTTTATTGGATTGTAGACTTAGACTGCACAGCTAGTTCAGTGTAAATCCTGTTAAATACTGAGTAAACATGTCCTCAGGGTGGTTTTCCAAAAGGCAACTGGACTTCCTTGGTTTTTTTCCTTGAAAATGTTTCACTTCTCATCCAAGAAGCTTCTTCAGTTCTGACTGAATGGTGGGGAAAACCAGTCCAGTTGCCTTATAGAAAAGCACCTTTCAGTTAACCATGACCTGGATGATTGAGAATCTCCATAGACATCTGTCTAAATATGTATAGAACTGGATTGTCCAGTTTCTGGATAAATATATAAAATAAAAGTGCCCTCAGGTAGTGTCACATTAAACTGCTTTTGGAATTTAACTTTTCTGTATATTATCACATGCAGCATATTTTAAAAATAGAGTATATTTTGTAAAATAGAGTATGCACAGAATTTTTTTTTTAAATAGTAAAACTGCATTCTTTACTCCTTCCAAATTTCTGTAGTTAATTCTGTAATCAGTCTTCCAGATTATAATTTTGGGCAGATTAAATGTTTTTTTTATTATTATTATTACCTTAATATTGTTTGTATTACTACTTGCAAGAAAATAGGATCCTCTTTAAGACAATTTCAATTGCGTAAGGAACTCTACTTTTTTACTCAGGTTTCGCTCCCAGCATTTAAGATTAAAGCATCTTCCCACTATAAAATGGAACTTCTGAAAAAAAAAAAAAGGAAAAACCCCACCCCGCCTCTGCCTCCACTGCTGCTATAGACTCCGCATGGAATATGGTGAGCTACTATGGTACCCGTAAGGACACAGATCATGAATGAGTGTGGGAAAGTTTCCTCCTCCTGCTCAAAAACAGAAGAGCCCTTGAAAACGTTTAAAGACAGAACAACGAATAGAAATATTAAACACCAACATAATCATAAATACATGCTCCAAATATTCCAAGTTTGCTTTCCTTTAGCAAAGTCATTTCTGTTGCACTTACTAAACTTCAGGGATTATGCCTTTTTGTCCGAAGAATGCACACCTTCTCTGCCACCCTTCATCCCACTGTACTTATGAGCCTCCACATTCCTACTTGGAGAAGGGATATGGCTGTCACTTGTTAGCGTAATCTCCAGGGAGAAGAACATCTGCCAGAGCCCAAGATTTTGGAGCGATTCTGTCCTCTTTTCTTTGGATGTAAGCCCATCTGAATTCACGGATGCCTATTCTTGAATCAACATGTACAGAATTGCCGTGCAAATCTCATCGTTGTTAACACATCTTATCAAGGAGATTAGGAAAAGAAGAGCCACCGGAAATTTTACCTTGTCCTGGGCATCCTAGAAAGAGGATTACACCAAGAGCCACAAAGATCCTCCCAATGGGTTTGACAAGCATTTCCAATCTGGCTTGGGCACCTCCACACTCCGCCAACCGTCACTGCTGATGTAGAAATGAAACAGTGGCTGCCTTTACAAAAGGTTTCCAAACCTCAAACCCAACCCTTTCCTTGCATCACAACTTCCTGAGCTCAAAAAAGGGACACCTCTACTAACAAAGCCTAGATCCTAATTCTACACTCTTGATCTAGTTGCTACAGGAAGCCAGTGTTTCCTCTGCAGATAAAGGGTAGAAGGTCTACTCAGAGTAAAATCTTACCAGATTCAGTGTTACTCCCAAAGAACAAGGGTGATTTGCAGCATTGGGTTCAATTTGGGGGGGGGGGAATCATTTACCTAGGAGTAAATTCTACTCAGTCGGTATCCATAGACTTACATAATATGAGAACCCATCAATTAAAACATTTTGGAAGTTCTCCTCTACCAGCAGCCAAATTTCAATGAAGAATATTTATTATAAGTTTAACTTTATCATAAACTAATCCATGTCAGAATATATTAAAATAAAATAACACATATTAATCTAAAAGTATATTAGCATGACATAGAGGTAGTCTTCAAGTTATGGCTGAATGGAGCCTGCCCATTATGGTCACAAGTCATGAGGGTTGGGTTGTTAAGCAAAGTGCCCATGTGATCACCTCACTTAATTACCCATTACCCCTGCTCTCCCTGGTGCAGTCATTAAGTGACTACACAGGTTGTTAATCAGAGCACAGGGTGTGTAACTCATACATCAATACTGTCTCTGAGTTCATCTCCTAAATCCTTGGAAAGAGCGTGAAGGGGACTTGTAACTGGATTTCCTTCTGCTGTTCTAAAATTCCGAGAAAAAAAGGTTCTGGAATAGCTGAATTCCCTTCCTGCAAAATCATTTCTGCCACCATCGGGCTGAGCCATCAATAGTGAACTTTGGTTTCCCAGTTTCCCAGTCATGGAAATGCAAAGGCCTGCATTCAAACTAGTACACGCTTTATCTGGATGTGACCCAAACTGATAACAAACAAACTAACCCCAAAGACATCGAATACATTTTTATAAAGAAATATTTTGTATTATTGATTCAATTTGTGGGTGCCCAACTCCACAGCTCTTCTGAGTGATTTACAATTTAGAAAATTAAAAAGAAAAGACACGTCAAAGAAAAAAGGATATAGCTGACCAGAAGTCAGAACCAAAGGCGCTCAACCACCATCCTAATCTGGAAGAAAATCCTGGCCTTTAACAATTTGCGGAAAATGGAAAAGATGGAAGAAGTATGGAACTCCAGAGTCAAGCCATTGCACATGTTCTCATTCAAACCATCTGTTATTGAAGCTGGACCTCTCTATCTCTCGTCACTTCAAATGAAGACATAACTGCATCATGGCGATTCTCATTTTACCATTGTCAGAGAAGCATGGCTCCATCTCTTGATCAAGGAAGAAAAGCAAACAAATAAAAAATCAGTATTGGTAGCCCTTGACTTACAACTCAGATCAGAATATCTGTTGCTAAGCAAGCCAATTGTTAAGTGAATCATGTCCGATTTTATGACCCATTTTGCCATGGTTATTAAGCAAATCACTGCAGTTGTTAAGTGAATAATGCAGTTGTTTAAGCAACTCCGACTTTGCTTCTTGGGAAACCAGCTGGGAAATGGTGATCATGTGATCCAGCGATGCTGCAACCATTGTAAATGCATGCCGGTTGCCAAGCATCTGAATTTTGATCATGTGACTGTGGGGAGGCTGTGGTGGTTGTAAGTGTGAAGAATGGACATAAGTCCCTTTTTCCAGTGCTGTTGTAGCTTTCAATAGGTCACTAAACAAATGATTGTAAATCGAGAACTACCGGTACATGCTGGTAAGTGATGGGAACATTACAGACATATTCAAGGACACCCCAAAACATAAAGTGTGTCAATCATGTGCTCTGCTATTGATGAAATGTAGGCAGTGTGCATATCAAGCTTCTCTCTGTATTATTTTTTTTTTTAAAGTTTTTTATTTTTATTTTAAAAACAAATCCATCTTTCAGTTATACAGTGTGTGTGACTGGGTACATATATCTTGTGCACTTATTAATATTTTGTATACATTTCTTACTAAGATTACATTCGTATTACAACCTGTTCTACATTATATATCTTATCATTATAACAATCTCATTTAATTTCTTACTTCATTTTCCAACCATTTATAAAATAAGTCCCATATCATGTAATATTCCATTTCTTCTTGTTCTCTGATTGCCAATGTTAATCTACTCATTTCTGCACATTCCAATATTTTCTTAATCACCTCCCCCTCTGATGGACCCTTTTCATTTTTCCAATTTTGAGCAAATACCATTCTAGCTTCTCTCTGTATAATTATCCTTTTTTTTGAAATTGACATTTTATTTTTCCTGGAGCAAAAATCTGATGTTTGAATTTTGCATCTTCCTTTGGCCTTCAGCTAAGACTTTGGCTATCATATTTTCCTCTGGATGCCTATAATCTTAAGAGGAGTTATGTATGTATGTTGCAGCTGAGGCCAGAAGTGCCTTACTCTTATATCTGGGCAAAGTTTTCAATCTTTTAGCATGGTGGGATTGGCATCACCAATGTGTTTTCAGAACATGACCAGAACAGAGAAGATGAAAGCTGCCTACTCTAACAAACACTTATATCGAAAACTCAGCTCCTGTGTCTTTATGACTGGGCCAGCAATTTGAAAAGTATTCATTGGAAAAATTTATATCATTTTCGAAAGAACATTTTGTGTAGCATAAAGGAAGTTGTACTCAACAAGTATGCATACCACAGAGTCATTCCACTCAATTTATTTCCTATCGATGCTTTTTCTCACCTCTTAATATGACATTTATTAACAAAATAGGAAGTGACATTTATTAACAAAATAGGAAGTGACATTTATTAACAAAATAGGAAGTGATAATTACAGTAGTTCTTGACTTACAACCATTCAATTACGGACTGTTCAAAGTTACAATGGCACTGAAAAAAGTGTCATGACTAGTTTTTACACTTCAACCATTGCAACATCCCCATGGTCACATGATCAAACTTTGAGCACTTGGCCACTGACATGTACTTATGTACTTATGACAGTTCCACTGTCCCAGAGTCATGTGATTCACCATTTGTGACCATCCCAGCCAGCTTCTGACAAACAAAGTCAATGAGGGAAGGCAGATTTGTTTAATGACCACATGAGTCACTTATCAACTGCAGTGATTCACTTAGCAACTGTGGCAGAAAAAGGTTGTAAAATGAGGCAAAACTCACTGAACATCTGACTTGCTTAGCAGCAGAATTTTTGGGCTCAATTGTCATAAGTCAAGGACTACTTCAGTAGTGGGATTCAAATTCTTTTACTACCGGTTCTGTGGGTGTGGCTTGGTGGGCATGGCAGAGAAGGATACTGCAAAATCCCCATTCCCTCCCCACCTAACTAACCTGCTTTCCAACTCCGTTCTCCTGTGCAGAGCAACCAAAGAAGACCCAGCCAATCTGCTGGGACTTGGAAGGCAGAGAATAGATGGAGGCGGGGCCAGTCAGAGGTGGGATTTGCCGGTTCTCTGAACTACTCAAAATTTCCACTACCGGTTCTCCAGAACTGGTCAGAACCTGCTGAATACCACCTCTGGACTACCTGTACTTGTACATTAAGTGTTGTGGTCTGCAAATCTCAGAAAGATATTTCAAATTACCAGTATTTGCTTTTGTAAACCTTCCAATGAATCCAAACATGGCATAAACAATGTAAGTATGTACACAGGTACTGTAGCTTACATCCTTTTCTTTTTAGGAAAACTTTTCTTTTTAGGAAAACTGTAAAAGCTTGGATTCAGGGGAATCACACCTTCATCACACACAAAAAGTGACTATGGGCTACCTTGTTGTTTGCTATAGCACTGATGGAAAGACTTCTGCCCGATTTGGTTTCCTCTCTAATTCAGCACCTGAAGATAGTTTATTCTAAATATTTTATTGTCCCATCTGGCCTGTGACAAAATACTGTACAATTGCTAAGGGGCTGACTGAGAAAGGAAAGTGAAATTAACATGCTTCCATTCTTTGAATGGTTAAAAGGTGATCATTAATTTTACCATTCATAGTCAGGCTGGGAGGAAAAACAGGATAGCATTCTAAGTCTATAAGGTTTTCCTATAAGGTGGTTGTCTGGATTTTATGCAAAACAAAATGGCACCATCTTAACTACTGTCTAAATCAGGGGTGTCCAACCAGGGGTGGGATTTAAAAATTTTAACAACCGGTTCTGTGGGTGTGCCTTAGGTAGTGGGTGTGGCATGGTGGTCATGTGACTGGGTGGACATGGCTTGGTGGTCATGTTATTGGCTGGGTGTGGTCAACTCAATATCACTCGTATTGAGGCACGCATCTCCTTGCCTGGCCTCTCGTGACTGTGGGGATGCTGCAACAGTCGTAAGTGTGAAAAATGGTCATAAGTCACTTTTTTCAGTGCCATTGTAACTTTAAATGGTCACTCCACACAAGCAAAGTACCAGCAAAGGAGGGGGGGGGAAACTCCAGAGACAGTCCAGAGACAGGAAGTCTAGTCCTGCCAAGAATGTAATAAGGGTTAACAGAGAGGCAGTTTCTGTAAGCAACACCAGAATGTTTCCTTCCTGCCTTCCTTACAGGATTAGGCCAGTAATTTCTTCTAACAACCTCTGATTCTCTGAACTGCTTAGAATGTTAACAACTGGTTCTAGCAAATAGGTGCAAACTGGTAGAATCCCACCCCGTGTCCAACCCTGGCAACTTTTAAGGCTTGTGGACTTCAACTCCCAGAATTCCCTAGCCAGCATACCTCTTGCTAGGGTTCCTTTTATGGCAATCGGATAACACAATATACATTTTTTTCTGATGGAGTATTTCAACTGCTTGTCACTATCTCTCTTAAGATGTTTCAAAATACATCCAAGCCATTCTAGTTCAGCAAGCTGTTCTTTCAAGGGAAATTGAACCTTGACTTGTGTTCCCAAGAAGTCTCAGCACAAGATCATGTTCAGATAAGATTACATTGTTCAGCAAGAAAAGTGTGATTTGCAAAATAAAGCA